ATTAGTTGTTTTGGCTAACATTAATGAGCTGTGTTGCCTAAAGTTGATTAGCCATGTTGGCCAACGTTAAGTAGTTGTGTTGGCTAACGTTGATTAGCAGTGTTGATTAACGTTAATTAGCCATGTTGGCTAACATTAATTAGCCGTGTTGGCTAACATTAATTAGTTGTTTTGGCTAACATTAATGAGCTGTGTTGCCTAAAGTTGATTAGCCATGTTGGCTAACGTTGATTAGCCATGTTGGCTAACATTAATTAGCCGTGTTGGCTAACATTAATTAGTTGTTTTGGCTAACATTAATGAGCTGTGTTGCCTAAAGTTGATTAGCCATGTTGGCTAACATTAATTAGCCGTGTTGGCTAACATTAATTAGTTGTTTTGGCTAACATTAATGAGCTGTGTTGCCTAAAGTTGATTAGTCATGTTGGCTAACGTTGATTAGCCATGTTGGCTAACATTAATTAGTTGTTTTGGCTAACATTAATGAGCTGTGTTGCCTAAAGTTGATTAGCCATGTTGGCTAATGTTGATTAGCCATGTTGGCTAACATTAATTAGCCATGTTGGCTAATGTTAATTAGCTGTTTCTTACTTTCTGTAAACTACTTTGCAGTTGAGCAACAACCATTTAATTCAGGAAAATAGTTATCAGATCAGATTCTTCTGAATTTTTGGCTCCAGGCAGAAATGTGTTTGAAGTTTCTTTCTGACTGGTCAGGACTTCAGTGTCTGCAGAGAAGGCTCCGCTCAGTCAACATTTCTGCAGGAGGAGTTTGATCAGTGACTGACAGGAAAAATAACCAATCACAACGTTGATATAGAGTGGGCGGGACCAAAATATAGGGCTCTGAGCTTTCCAAAGGACCTTCAAGGCATTTGTTTTGACCATGTGATGTTGTGATGCATTCAAGTGCAACCTATAAATTCAAAAATCCACATTGGAACTGTAGTGTGTGTTACAAAAATGAACGTTAAATATCCTATATAGGTTGACATTGATATTTTTCAGTAATACAGTTTTACTACATGATGAAATTTTACAGAAATATTAAGTTCTGTAAGTTACTGTTAAATTTCAGTGTGAAAAGTAAAAATTACATGTTGTACTTGAACACAAAAGACTGAGTAAATCATAAACCCTTCTATGAAGTCTTGGGACACAAATGGGTGGACTTTTTCCGGTTATGTGTTCAGATGGGTTGTCCATGTTGGTTTTTGTCTTTAGTGTTTTCTGTCAGATGTTGTACATGATTAAAAAGGGCCGTCTGCTCAGCGTATCCATAGATTGTGAAACTGAAAGTAAAGTGCTGTAGGCAGACGGTTACTCTGTAATATCTTCAAAATCAGCGTGTTTTAGGCCGTTTCAATATTTCTTTCAGACTGAAGGCCTAGCTTCAGGTGAATGATGTACATTTTATTTTGAGTTACCGGTAGTTGTAACTTTTTGTAAAAAATATGTTCAGTTATTGTTAATGATTATTATTTTCCCATTTTTCTCGTTTTGAATTTAAAGTTACAATCCTTTATTCAGTTAAAGCATATAATTATTCATTGTTTTAACAGCGTTATTTTAACCGTGATACCTACGTTCACACACTGAACTGAGGGAGCTCCAGGTCTGGTCTGGCCTGCAGGTGATGGTGCCACTGCCTTTTACCTGCTGTCCCTTGGGACAGGTAACACGGACCGACTGTCCGACATGAAACGCCTGCTGGGACCTGTTACTGCTGATGTCCTCCTTCCAGCTCGGAGGAGGGGTGCAAGGCTTCGCTGTGAGGGACAGAAACCATGGATTAAAGTGTTAACTTGTTATCCAGCTGGTGCACTTTGACCCCTAAAACAAATACCAGAAACATTTAAAATGTGTAACACAGGTCGTGATGTGAGGGGAAAAAACAGTAAAAAAAAAAAAGGTAAGTTAACCACAAAATACGAGTATGTTTCTACACTAAAACATTACTACTCTATTTAAACTAAACCAGCTACTCTGGGGACTTTTTTTAAGCTCAAGAGGCCAAAAACATGTCTCTCAAAAATATCTACCAAGCCAGTCAAAAATCTGTGAATTTAAAAATGTTTAATGTGTTGTTCTGATTTGCTGCATCCCTGAGGAAATCCATTTTGGTGTAAGAAACCTGTTCTTGCATAAATCTATTCTTATAAACCTGTTTTTGTGTATGAAACCTGTGTAACTTTATGTACTGATGACCATATATAAAGTAGTCTATTTATTTTTTCTGTGCAAACACTCAGGCTCTGAGCTAGGATTACAATTAGTTTCTGTACAGTTAGTTTATAGGTGTTTATTTTTGTAGGATTATATTGTATGACCACCACACCCATCCCTCTAGAAGTGCTGCATCTGAGAGGGAGTGCTCTTTGAGCAACACTCAGACTACTACAGTTGTGCTGAGCTCCCTGGACTCCCCAGAGCTAAAATAAACCAAGTGAAAGGCATTTATAGACTTCTGATCATTTCACTGAGAATTACTAATATTAACAAAGTACATTTCAATTCAGTTTTAATTCAGTTTATTTATATAGCTCCAAGTCACAATAGAAGTCATCTCAGGGCACTGTACAGAAACATTCATATATGTACATAAAAAGTTATTAACATTATTTATCTGAGCAGACTACTTTGAATTTAACTTCATCACAGACTCTCATCTTGAGCAAGCATGAAGGCGGCAGTAGAAAGGAAAAACTCTCTCATGAGGAAGAAACCTTTAGCAGAACCAGGCTCAGGACAAGCGTCCATCTGCTTCAACTGGCTGGGTTTGGTAGGAACATATACACAATGGCAGGTCAAGAATCACGTTAAGATAAAAATAGTATCAAATGAAAACTATTCAATTTTAACAATTCATTTAAGGAAGTGAGGTCAATTGTCCTCCAATAGTCGAAGCTTAAGGCAGCATAACAAGTCAACCCTAATATGGAACAATAAGAGCTTGAATATAAGATGGAGCTAGGTTGTTGAGGGCTTTGTAGGCTTGAAGTAAGATTTTGAAAAAGAAACCATCCAGATGACCTAACTGAACTTTGTTGGATTATTTACCTGGATTATTGAGCATGAACTTTGAAGTAAGATTTTGAATTCTATTGTGAATTTGACAGGGAGCCAATGGAGAAGCTAAAACTGGAGCGATATACACTCTCCTATTAACTCCAGTTAAGACTGTGGCAGCAGCATTTTGGATTTCCTCCACACATCCCACCCCCCAAACCTTCATATTTGAAGTTAATAAATTACAGAGCGATTTTCCACATTGAACTATTCACTCAAAGTTGTTTAGACCTTAAAATTTGGTGGAAATATTTAGGTAGACACTTTATTCTACTTGTTTTGACTTGTTAGCTTGTATTTGTTTGTATTTTTGTACTTATTTTATTGTAAGGTTTGAATGCATTATTAATATTTTTAGCATATTTGAAACTTAGAATTTTAGAATATTTGAAACCATGCTGCTAACGGGACCATACGGTGGTCTTGAGGTTTAAATGCATTACAAATTAAAAAACGCAACTACAAATCACCGTAGGACCATGTCGCTAAGAAAACCTCACTGCCAACAGAACCACTCTGCTAATAGGACCATGTTGCAGTACAAGTATTTTTTTTCACTTTGGACACCTTGGTTTTGTATTTTTGTTGCAAGCTTTGGTATTTCTTGTTGTTTTTCTTTGGCGAGTCGAGACAGTTCTTCTTGTCCTGAGCATTTCAATGCATCGTTGACCTTGTTTTGATTTACATATAAACCTAAACCTAAATATAAAATGTCTGAAGTCCATTCCTTGTAACAAATCCCAGCTTCTCTGATGCATGGACGTAATAATCCAGTGCAGATTGTTTGACCTTTTACGACCTACAAAAGAGCTGAAGCTATTAGACAAGATGAGGCGACTGACTGGACTCTTGTCACAGCTGATGTTGTAAAACTGATTAGGAAATTGACGGAGTGTGTGTGTATGTGTGTTGCAAGCGTTTGTTAAAACACAACTGTTGCTCCAGTGCTGGGAAGCTGCAGAGACTGCAGCAGAGCAGGAAGTCCGATGCTGAAAGCGTATGTGTGGTAAGAGACGGGCAATGACTTCTCACCTTGACAGGTGGGGAAAGTGGAGCTCCAGGTGTTTCTCCCTATGCACACCAGCAGATGATCTCCCACAAGGTTGTAGCCTTCATCACACTGAAACTCCAGAGCACGCCCCGAGTTCAGGTCGTGCTCCAGAACTTTACCGTGCAGCAGCTGTTTGGGACCCTCACAGCCTCTGACCACTGAGAAACAAATGGAGATGAAGTTGCATATACGGTCACGAGAAAATGAAAGTCTGACTTATTCGATTTATACAGTTTTACAAATCCGGACATAATTTAAATGATCTGGTCTTCACAGAGGTCTAAAATTATTTTAACCTAACCTCAAGTGGACAAAAACACATCAGGGTCCATCATGTTGTATTAACCAAAAACAGTGAAAAAGGAAAGACTGTGTGAAAAACTACATCCAGCCCATGAATCCTTTAACAGCAATAACTCTCAGTACATTAGTTGTTTCCTGTAGAAATTTAAGTCTCTCACATGGCTGTGGAGGGATTTTGTCCCACTCTGGTTTGAGGTGTTCTCCTGCAACCCTTCCAAACAATTCATGTTTGGCTTGTCCTGTCATTAACTTTAACCCTGCTAACTGACCATAAAGTCTGAGGTGTAACTCAGTATTTTTTTTTTAAGTTTCTGTGTTACAGTCTGCTAGGGCTGGGCAATATACCAAAAATTAACCGACACCGAAATTTATAATGATCGACATCCAACAATTTTCAGTCAGGTCATCTGGACAGTTTCTTTTTTTGCTGAAACGTTTCACCTTCCATCCAGAAGACTTCATCAGTCAAGGAAACACAACACAAAACTGATTCTTCCCCCAGAACAGCTTACTCCAAAGTGGAACAAACCAGTTATGTTGGTGCTAAGATGGTGTCTTTGGCACGCCCCCTCCTCCGGTGCCGGCCCTCTTCCTCGTCGACAGTCATGTCAAACTGGTTCCAAATGATCTACGTCATTTTGCCCATGTCGGTATTTTCGGTGTTTTAAAAAATTAAAAGAAAAGTCGTTTTGTCTTTTGGCTGTAGGTAAGCTAAGCTCATGTCCCTTTAAGATGCTGCGCTACGTGCAGTCTGTGGTCATGTGACTCCACCCCATCCAGTCTGTAACGAGAAGTGAAAGACGGTGCGGTTGAGAAAATGGAGGAAATTTCCAACGTTGACGCAGCAGCGGCAGAGCTGGTCCAGGAGGAAGAGGAGCAGCTAATTTCAGCATTATTGACACATACTGTATGCCTCTAAGGCATATGTGTCAAACTCAAGGCCCGGGGGCCAAATGTGTCCCTCGTTGACATCTTATCTGGTCCCCAAGATGATATGTGAAACGTAAAATACTTCTATCTCTTGAATTTTTTCAGCATTATTTGATTATGATGTCGAAAGCACAACAGAGAACATCAAATGAGACCAATCAAACTCTTGTTGAGGAACCTGTGACTAAGAAAAGATGTTGGGTATCTGATTTGAGTAATGTAGTTTCAGAAATTGGCCCTTAATTTGAAAAATATTTTAATTTTGGCCCCCATTTGTAAGTGAGTTTGAGGTCTTTGCACATGACATTATATTTGCAACACTCATTGTTTACTTTTTCAAATGGCAAATGTGAAATTTATTTTTTATTATTTAGTTTTATTTGCAAGGGAATACTTGACAACTCAAATGTGACCATTTCATTCATAAGAGATTGTATTTTTTAATACTTTGTGTTTACAGGAAAGTTAAGTTATTTTATTCTTCTAAATTTGTTCAGTTGTGCTTATTTGTTCAAAAACTATTAACAACTAAAAGTACACATTTTCTTCATTTATTAGCAGAAGCTGTAGTTTTAAAGTTCATTAAAGTGGCAATAAAAAAGGAATTATGCCATCAATATAACTGGCTGTGAATTATTTATGCCGGCCTATCACACTATTTTCGGGGGTGGGAGGTTGCAGTTATCGTCCATTTATCGTTATCGAGGTGAACTGCTCAATATATTGTGATACTGATTTTAGGCCATATCGCCCAGCCCTACAGTCTGCTGATGGGGTGAATTTTCTGAGATGTACACTTCTAGGAAAACTGGCAGCTGTCATAAAAGTTTTCCACTTGCTAATCTTTATCACTGTAGAATGATGGACTCCAAATTGTTTGGAAATTACCTTTAACTCTTACTTTTTGTTTTCCCTCTTGCTTCCGACGAAGACAGACGCTTTCTTTCCCTCTCCTGCCTCCCTTCTGCTTTTGCTCTTGTCCTGTGAATCTTTCTCTGAGCCTCTCTTTACCTATATTCAGAATTGTAAATTATGGATCTGGTCAGCTGGTCTCTCAGTGCAATTGTTAAAATTTTCTCGATGAGAAGACAGGGTGCAGGAGAACCCTCATGTCTTGAAGGGACACATGACGCATATACAATTGGATTACGACAAAAGGATTATCTGCTTTTTGGAATCAGCGGGTACCTGGGATATCGACAAATTAAGAAGATGTCGGCAGCGGTTTTTGGCAATGGTGAGGCTGCCTGCCTATGTGAAGGATTGTACTGTGCTTCAAGCATTCAGACTCAGATGCTTTGTGAGCCTGGAACTTGCTGGCATGAAGGAATAGACCTTGGAGAAGGCTACAAGCATGGACCAGCAGAATGACCACAAATGTGGCTGCTTGGATTCACCATTGAGTACCAGCAGAACTAAGAAGGGAGACATGAAATCAGTAGAGTCGACCTGCCCCTGACCCCAAACAGTTGTTGTTTATCTGAATCTGGCCTCCCCGCTTGGCCTTGGATAGGCCAACTTATCTCAAATCGCTCCTGGAGGATATGTAAATCATGAAGCTCTGCTCCTGCTTCCCCTCCACCCCCCAAGAACATCTGTGGACTCTTATCAGAGCTGAGTTGGCTGATAAGACACTGTGCCATCTTATCAAGACTATGGAACTTTCTGGCAGTGTCCACGGACAGTCTCACCACCTTTGTTTGCTTCCTCACCCCCTGCAAAATGACTTATGTCAGTCTATGTTGCTTTTTATGTGCTGAGGTAGTTTTGTTTGCTAACTTACATTGTGTCCTGTGTCGAGGACAGTGTGAGAGACCTTTTTTATACATTCTTTCCTCATGATTCTCTTCCCCTTTCTTATCTAAACAATAATGGCAGCGCTTCACAACGAAGCTGCAGCCCCCCGTGCACCCCCGTCTACCCTTGTTGTCTTTGGACGGCTGCACTGAAATATATTTTCACTGTGCAATGAGAATAAAGTTGATTCTGATCACCAGATTGAAGGGCAGTGACAGTTGCTTCCCTAAAGCCATTGCTGATGTCTTCCCAGCTTGGCATTGTGTTAACCCACACCTGTAAACTTCAGAGCAGCAAACTGCTTTTTTAGAGATGATCATCATCCGTGTGACCACCTCTAAAAAAGCAGGAGTTTTGTTGTTACTTGACCATTTAAATCCTATGAAAGCAACGACTTAAGTTTTCCACACGTTTCTATTTTGGTTTGTTTAATAAAGAGGGACACAACTGAATCTGTTGTCTTTATTTGTACACTTGAGGTTGGATTCAAATAAAAGTAGAGCCTGGCAAAGACCAGATGATATGTCCTGATACTGTACGTAAAACACTGGAAAAAAAGGGCAGACTTTCTTTTTCCCCATGACTGTACGTGAATAAAAAGGAGCGTAATTAAATGTTAGAAGTCAAAGCTTCCCACCTTCACATGTAGGCGCCGGCAGGCTCCACGAGCCGTTGGACAGACAAGTGAGAGTCTTTGAGCCGACGAGCTGCAGCCCAGCGTTGCATGTATAACTGACGTTGTGCAGGTAAGTTTTTCCTGTCGCCTGGAGCTGTGCATTTTTTACTGTGGGTGGAGGCCCGCAGGAGAGCCCTGCAGAGGCTGCTGACAGACGGGAACAAAGATGTCACTGACAATCTGAGTGTTTAAGTAAACCTTAGAACTCTTGATACTTTCATATATCTTGTCAGTCAGTGCAGTGTGGTTTATCTACATTTCTCGCTAATGATAGTTCCTTTCTACAGCTGCCACAAATAGAAATTCAAGTTTCAAAACAACAGTATTTGTTCAGAAAAATGATCATGGACGGAGCTGAAGCGCTTCAAGCTGTCTGGGTGTGGCTTTATCGGTCATTCAATATGTGCTCCTTTGTGAGTCATCTCTTAAAGTATTTATGCAATGTTTGCGTTTTAATGTGGAGGGACTCAAGTTTTGGTAATCAAACAGAGCGTTACCAGCTGTTTGTTTTAAAATGTTTACCAGTACAAAACCTACCAACACATGCTGGCTGTGTGCCACTCCATGTTCTGTCGCCCTGGCAGGTCTGAACAGAGTCTCCCTGAGGAAAAACAACAACAACATGCGATGAGCTCAGCACAGCAGCATCTTATAAGATGTGTAGATCAGTATCTGAGCTGCACCATAAGCAGGATGCGAAGTGTTTTAAGTCTACAGTATTAATATTTGATTTTAAATGATTTTTTTTTTTTGGGTACTACAAAGATTAAGTGCTTTAAAAGCCTGCTGTTTGCCCTGTGTGTGTGTTCACTGTATTAAAAAGCTCTGATTACAATGAGTGTTCAAACTGGACAGGCTCCACGGGTATCAGAGTTTCAGGAACAGTGACTCAGCTCTTTCCGCCGGCGGTGAAACGACACACTCCTATTGAACGCTGAGGTGAAATCATGTGACTCTGTAATCTGATTGTCAGTCATTAGCTCAGTGTGTGCAGCCAGCGGATAGAGACAGAAACAGGCTTTTTTTAGAAGAATTCATTTCACACACGTTTCTAAAATAAAATTAAAAAGGTTTAGGAAGAGCATACAATTTTACACAAAATATGTTTTTGTAAGAGGAGTTTATTTTCATAAATGAAGGCCATATTAAGTTTGGGCTTTTATTGATTTATCCGAGTTATTAGTTTTCCAAGATGGAGGGATTTTACAACATATAACTACTGTATTTTGTCAAAACAAAAATTTGATAAACGTATGAATTTATTGTGGATTTTCTCTAAGCCACACATAAGCAAAACTACCGTACTTTTTGTTGTATAAGTCACACCTTTTTGTATAAATTAACATGCCCTGTGACTTATTTATGTCCCCCCCCCCCCATTTATAATCCAATTTTTGGCTGAGATCTGACGATTTCATTCATTCTAACATGGAAAATATTGAACACTACCATTTTAGAGGACACTCGAGTAATATGGCAAGCCAAGTGTCTCATAAATAGGTAAAAGTGGCTATTAATGAGACACTTGTCTTGCCATACCAAACCACCTTCGTCTCGCTCTGGTACTCCTGGAACAAACGTCAAATCAGCTGCATTTCTCCACCCAGGCAAAATGCAGCTGATTTGACCATTAAAGTGAATTTATTAAGGAAAAGTTCAACTGAGACACACCTTTGCTATAATGTCGAGCAAACAAATAATTGTTTTTAGGTGGTTATCTTGTTAAATTTAGAAGAAATGCACAGCAATTCCTCCCTCTGCGTGCTCCTGCAGCTGCGAATCAGCTTTTGAAATGCAGCTGATTTGACTGTTAAAGTAGGCGCAGAGGTTAGAAGTAGGGATGAGGCCGATCCGATCCAGTATCCGTATCGGGCCATCGATACCAGCATAATTTACATATCGGATTTTCTGATCCAACCTGCTGATATTTCCGATCTACGATGCATGTCTGTGGTTGCGCTGCACGTTGGCTTCAAACTATGGAATGGATTTCCTGAACGGAGGTGTGTCTCGAACCCAGAGTAATAAGACCCGCCTCACATTCAGGAAATCCATTTCATAGTTTACAGCCAGCTACTACTTGCAGTAGCACTGTGGCTAACAGCTAACTAACTTTTCATTTAAACATGTCCGCCGTGTGGAAGTATTTTGCACTAGAAACACCACAAAACAAGACGCAACGTGCAATGTCTGCAGAGCCATAGCGCCACATTAAACCGCGGTAAAGTTAGTTTTATGATGAACATTCGAGCTCCGGGGCTTCAGCGGTCTGTTATTTTCGTTCAGTCCGGAGAAGGCAGTCTGATTTCGGTCAGCCACGCTCAGTCTGTCCGTGTTGGAGGAGGGGCAGACTGAGCGTGGCTGACCGAGATCAGACTGCTTGCTTCGGATTGAACAAGAAAAACACATCGCTGAAGCCCCCAAGCTCGAATGTTTACAGAGAAGTTGCTAAACTTCATCATAATTAATGACCAACCGCTATCAGTTGTAGAAAACAAAGGAGTTCTCAGCTTGATACTTGCAGCCAAGATATAGTTTACCCTCCAGGAGATATTTATCAGTACAACAGTAGACAATCATAAAAAAAAAACATATGATTTGAAAATTATAT